TAGATCAATACCTAATTTGTGAACCTGTATTGTAATAAGATGGAAAACATGGAAGAAATGGGGCAGAGTCTTGGATACATAAGAATTACCAAAACCGAATTGAGAAGATACAGATTCTAAATAAACCAGTATCAGTCAATGGAATTAAAGATGTAATCAAAAACTCACCAGCAAAGAAAAGTCCAGGTCTAAATATTAAAACAGAAACACTACATCTGCTGGAAAATAGAGCAGGCAGAACTTTTGAAGACACAAGTTTAGACAAAGAGTTTATGAACAAAACTCGTATCATATAGAAAATACTAGAAGGCATCAAAAACTGGGATCTCACCTTATTAAAAAGCGTTTGCAGGGCCGAGGATTTAGCACAGAGGCATAAGCACCTCTCTGGCAAGCGCTGGGTCCTGAGTTTGATCCCCGGCACAAAAAAATATATACTCCGATGATCTACTTCATTTTGGCAACCCGAGGTCATGAATTCAATCTCCGGTAAACCCCCCCCCCCAAAAAAAAGCTTTGGTACAGAAAAAAACAAATCAAAAATCACTGACAAAGTGAAGGAACAAATCACAGAGTGGGATAATACTTTTGCCAGCTGTTCCTTAGACAAGGGACTAATATCTTATGTATATAAACAACACTCAGAAAAAAATCATAGCCCCCAAACTTAAATATCCAATCCTAAAAAATGAAACTGAAATAGACTCTTCTCTGATGAAGACGTAGAAATGTTAAATAAATATATGAAAAAATTCTCATTATCACTGGTCATTCAAGATACACAAATTAAAACAACACTGAGATTCCTTAGCATTCCAGAAAGAATGGCAATTATCAACAAAGCAACCAATAACAAATCTGGCAGGCTGCTGGGAAAAAGAAATCTTTCTTCTGCACTGTTGGTGGGAGTGTAGACTGGTACAACCACTGTGGAAATTAGTGTGGATATTTCCTCTAAAAATCAAATCTAGAGGTTCCATTTAAGCTACCTATTCCCCTTCTTGGTATCTTTCTGAAAGAAGTCAGAGCAGCATACCACAGTAATTCATGTTCACTAGTGTTTACAGTGGCACAGTTTATAATAGATATATCTCAGAAACAGCCTAAATGCTCATCAACCGATAAATGGATAAAGATGTGTTTTTTTCATAAAATGGAGTACTATTCTGTCATAAAGAAGGATAAACTTCAGACATTTCTAGATAAACAGGTGTACCTTGGGACCATATTCTTAAATTAAAAAAAAAATCAGACAAACATTTAAATACTGCATGGTTTATCTGGTGTGAGAAACCAAAAGGATAAATAAGGACCCAATGCATAATAGTATGAAATAGGAAGAAAATGTTCAAATGGAAAAGGGATCTAGGGAGGGAGCAGGGGAAAACAAGGGAAAAGGGAAAAAAGAATAGAAAGAAATTATAAACAAAGATTTTGTAAATAAGGAGGCAAAGAAGGCTTGAAGGGAGGTGAAGGGGAAAAAAGAATCAAGGCATATCATGTGTAGACACAAATTCCATATGTTGAATGTTATCATTAAATATCTAAAATGTACCAATAAAATTTTTAAAAAGATGAAAAAATACTGATAAAACTACTAACAGTATCAGTACAGTCTTTAGATGACACATCAGAATTAACTACTAAGTTAAAGTATTATTTAGTAGATGTCAATACTTTGAAATGAATGAACGAAATAATACATGAATCTTCTATTTTGAAGCAATACTCATTCATACTTTCCAATGGCTGACGCATCTGATAAATATTTTCAAGCATAGTCACACATTTTTAAAAATTATTTAACGTGTAGCTTTTCTACTACCATAATTACTCAAGAAGAAATGTACTGAACATCTAGTACAGAATGAAAGTTTACCACAAACATGTATACAACTTTCTAACCTCAAGAAGATTATACAGTAAGCATAATCAGAGAAACTGTCGACCTTTCTAAATCGATCCTAAACTTTGTCCTCTTGTTCACCATATCACATAGTAGTTCCACTTCTGGAATTCTGAGACTCCTTTTTTCTAGCCCTACTTCTACAGCTCCAACTATCCTTTCCCAAACTGCTGCAACAGCCTCCTAATTGGTCTTCCTGATTCTGGTCCTACTTCACACAACACAATGATCATTCTTAAAACCACTGATCACTCTGAAATGCCCAATGAACCATGAAGATCCAATATCTGAGGTCTCTATAAGCTATATTACGATATGAAATTCAAATTTCTTGAAAACCAGACAAGGCCTTCAATAATCTGGCTTACATTTATCTCATTTGACTAAATTTTACCTGCTTTGCATTCTGAATCACTGTTAGAGAACTTCTTATTCACCTGCCTTTATTTGTATAGACCAGGGCAAACCTATGGCACGTTTCTGTGTTTTACATTTAAGACAAAAGATTTTAATATAGCTTTTTCCCCCCCTAAACTAAAACCTAAGTGTTCAGGTTTTACTGCAGAGCTGCTACTTTTCAGTAAGTATGAGTGGGTTCTGAGTTGCAGTTTGGCACTTGGTCTCTAAAAGGTTTGCCATCCCTGGTGTAGAACATTTGCCAACAAAACAAAACTCAAAACAAAAACTACTGAAAAACTCTACAACATTTAGCTCTGGGGCTCCTTCTTCCAAAAAGAGTTCTTTTTCAGGCTGAACTAGGTGAGTCAGGTGCTTTCACAAGGTCTTGTCCTGTATCACTGTCACCAGGTAGGCACAGAGTATGGCCCTGGCCTAGCAGTGCCGGCACCTCCCAGAAAGCTGTGAGTACTGCAGCATCTCAGGCCCATCTGGAGTTGCTCAATAAAATCTATTTTCTTGCTCTCTCTATACTGGGGATTGAACTGGATTTTTTCTTTTTTTTTTTTTTTGTATTTTTAATTTTGAGATAGTGTCTAAATCACTAAATTGTGTGGGCTGGGTTCAAACTTGTGAGCCTCCTGCCTCAGCATCCAAAAGTACTGGGACAGCAGGCACATCTCACCACACCCAGTTCAGTCTGCATTTTAACAAAATGCCAGACAACTAACATATATACCTTACAGTTAGGAAGCACTGTTGTAATAATCTATTGGCATATTTATGTCCATCAAGCAAACAGTCTCAAATTCTACAATACTGGTTATGATGCAGACTCTCAGGTCCATGCAAAGTCCAAAACAGATCTGGAGGGGAGTCCAGGAATGTGCATTTGTATAAGTGCTTCACGTCATATTAAAAATCTCCCACAATCAGCATGTATACTGGAGATAAAGTAGGGAACCAATACACACAAATACACTTTCATAAATAAAAACTAAATGCCTAATCCCTTTTAGAACAGCTAGGTCAGTGGAAACAGTGCATTAGAAAACGGTCAGTATTGTGTTCCTCAATTTAAAAAGGCCTTCTAATTTTCATTACCACAATAAGAATGACAATATCATAAGCACAAAAAAATTCTCTTAAATGACACGTTCATTAAAAGTAAACCCTGTTACTTGGCAAAACTCACAGTCTAAGGTTGAATAGTCAGTTGAATTAACTAGTAACTACCACTTTTCGGAAGTTAATATAAAGGAAAAACCTCAGATGGAACAGCAATTAATTATTTTCATGAAGTCATTGTCAATGGAAAAGTAAAAATCATTTATTCCTATTAAAAATTTAAAAAATAAATGGAATAATTTTGCCAAGATACTGAATTTAAAAAAAATAACTAACTATCCAGTCCAATATGAGTCTTAAGAGCCAGCTGTTTCATATTTATCAACAAAAAAGAAATGAACAGAGTACCTCAATGCCTGGCAGGCATTCAATAAATATTTGTGGAAGTGAACTGCAATGCTGGGTAAGAATTGACTAAACTGATGCACTGTTTTGTCTTAGAACATTAATACCAAAGAAGTGTTGTAACCAGTCTCTTTTGCTTCACAAGCAAAGTATATGTCATGATATGTATTTTAAAAATTAAAATAAGTACCTAATGCTAAACCAAAAAAATAAAGACTGCGAATTGGGCAAGAAATAACCGAGAGAGTACCTTAAAAATCTGAGACACTGTTATCATTAAGGTGTGGTCCTAAATCATAGGATTGGTGTAAATCATATGATGGTACTAAAGTTACATTACTGTAGTAGATAACTGAAATACTGCTGACAGCAGCAGCTTCACTAGCATTCGATGCTAATATGCAAGTAAAACTGCTGAACTTGTTCAACTGTATTCCGGTACCTATCGCAGTAGTTATTCTTGATTGCGTGAGCAGGAATAATCTATACTTCTCAAAATTGACCCAATCGGGCAGTGTCCAAAACATACTCGCACAGAGTTTAGAAACTGTGAGGAGACATCAGAGCAAAATAATTTGAGCTACCCGTCCAGTCTCACAATTCTGGAGCCTCACTTCAAAACACAGCAGTGCGGAGCAAGTAACACTTCTTCTTTTTGTTTATGTATTCCCAGATTTTTACAATGTAAAAGTTTTTGCCTTCAGGCATATCAGATTCCTTAGCCAGCTCCAACTTTACGAAAATACTGCAAATCTAAAACAGGCTGCTTCATGCTACACTTCATCTCTTTTTGCTTACCATGATTTACAAATCCTGGAAAATAACTACTCAGATTCTTCGCCGCTCCTACATACGAATACCCTACTGATTTTCAATAACGAGTTAGTAACTAGGGAAGAAAGGAAACACGGAAGTGACAATTTAAAATACGACTACCAACACTTTTCCTTTTGCGTTTAGTAAATATCCCCGGCTCTAAGACAGTAAGAAGGAAGCTCAGAGTACACATGAAAATGACAGAGAAGTGGCAGAAGGTGAACACTGCTCAAACTGAAAGCCCTCGACATGCAGCATTCCAAACCCTGCCGCCTCGGTCAGAGGAGCGAGAGTGACCGCAGGCCCGTCAACGCCGGGGACCCGAGCAGAGATGAGGTGGGCGGCGCCCCGCCAGCCCTGCTCCGCCTTACACAAGGGGCTAGGCCCGCTGGCTGTGGCCACGAGTTACCTGCTGGTCTCGAGCGAAGAATAACGCTCTGGCAGAACCTGAAGGCAGCGCTGGAAAAACCGCACGTGTCGGTCCCGCAAGAAGTCTAGTCGCTCTCCCTCGCCGCTCCCCACCAGCCGCTCATCCTCAGTGGCCGCCATGCTGCTCCGGAAGTTACTTCCGCCGTTACCCGGAAGCACTCGGCGAGGGGCGTGCACGCTCGCCCACCCGAGATTCCGAGGAGCTGGGTAGGCGTGGGCTACAACCACCTGGTTGATGACTGAAACTGTGCGGCCCACTGAAAACCTCGTCACGGTTCTTCATCTTGCTTATTTTTGCGTAGGCAGTGTATGATCCCATCCTTTTATACATTAACCCCCAAAAGTTTGGAACACTTTCCAGGTTTTATGAAGCCCAGCCCACAGATTCCCAGGTCCGAATGTTTGTCTTCGTCTATTTGAAAGGAGCAAGAACAAGAGCTTTAAATTTGGTCTGAGAAAATACTGGCCTTATACAATGAAAGGGGTAGCTATGAAAACAGTAACAGTTCAGTATAAGTTCGCTGATAGACTCATTTTTGAAGGACAATAGTTGTAAACTGCAGACAGGGTAATTAAACCTACAAATTAAAACTGCGGAGATGTCAGATATTTATTAAGTTATCAACACCTCAAAAGTTCTGAAATTTTCCTGGTCCTGCCAGGAATCGTTTAAAAGTATATGCACAGACAGCCACAACTTAAAGGCGCAATTTGAGTTCAGCCGTAATCATACTTTAATCTTTTCCTGGGATAGACGGTAGGTCCTTCCTCCCAACGCTCCAGTCGGCTCCACTACAGTCTGGGGTATTCAGTGTGTTGCACTGACCAGGTGTATTAAAAGCACCTCTGACTTACAGTGTTTTCACTTTGGTGTTTAATAAGATGTAAACTTGTTAGGGGTTGGGGAACATCTGCAATACGCAGTATACAAACGTTACAAACATACAAACTTAGCCGTGTGTAACTACTTGCAACATTTTTTACAAATCTGACAGATTTTACTGAGTCCAGGTGTCATGAGTCATCAGTGTCACAACAATTCACAGCAACAAACAACATACTCTCCAATCACCTATACAGGAAAAATTGAAACATCATGATTCTTTACAAAAATGAACATTTGTCTTGGCCATATACCATTCTCTTTTAAGGTTTCTGACACATTCTTGAGGAAGAGGAACCCAAGTATCAAGCGGTTCTTTAAAATTAACCGAGCTAATGGAAACTTGAGTATACTTTTGTTAGGGTTCTTAGAAAATGAATTAAAAAAAAAAGCCAGGCATGGTAGCACACACCTGCAATTCCAGCACTTGGGAAGCTGAGACAGGAGAATCGTTGTGAGTTTGAGCCTGGGCTACAAAGTCAGCTCGAGGCAAGCCTGAACTGCGTAGTAAACACCAACTCAAACACACACACACACAAACTAAATAAATAAATGCGCTCCATGGAGTGGTACACTTATTCAACAATCCAAAGCACCTTTATTTTTGGTACTAGCAACTACTTATTCAAGGCATTCCTGAATTCCTTAATAAATACTCTTCCAACAGCCTGCATTATCTAAGCGCTGACCTTAGGGCTTTCCTACAAATATCAATGGTGCCTTGGTTCACAAAATCAGTTCTCTCCATGACTAGTCACAAACAGAACTGGACAAGAAAAGAATCAATAGTCAACATTGAACTTGACCACTGCATTTTATTTGTTTCTCATTCAACTCCGTTTGTGACTACAATGTGGAAAGAATGAAGTCCATTAATGAGTACCACTACTAAGCACACAGTCCTTGCTCTTCGGGCATGCTTACTCTGGAGTTTTCCCTATTCCATTAAGGGACCTCTCTCACGCATATTCTCAAGTGCCTCAAGATAGTCAAAATTGAGTCTTACTACATTCATTTGTTAAAATCAGCTGTGCAGGTCCCATACACATTTGACAGTTCTCATCAACAGACTACTTAAATTAAATGTAATTTTTCAGCTCAAGGGTGAGCAATTTGATTCAAAGCTGAAGGAAAAACCTGTTTTGGATTCATTGAGAGATAATTCCTAGATAAGTAAAAGGCTTTTTTTTTTTTTAGTGATTTTGACCATATAAATTGTTTGATATATGCATGCCAGAATCTAATGCCCACATAAAATACCACCCCACATTATTAGCTAAGAAACATAAAAAGTTGTTTTCAAAGCATAAAAATGAAAGAACACCTATAAATATTAACCATTAAATGACAATGAATTATGGAGAAACACTGGAAAATGTGTAAAATAATGTAAAGTAATAATATAGTAACTAATGTACTCTGTACCATTTTAAAATATGCAGTTATATTTTAGAAAATGTTATGTGGGAATTACAGATGTTTTATAATGTTTTTCAAAATTTCTTATTAATGCACTAATTAAACCAGTGTAAGAAATGTTTATTTGATATTTCTCCTATGAATCCATCACTAAAAACATTTTCAATTATGTTTATGCTATATGCTTAAGGGATGCCTATAATAAATTCCTTATTTATTTCAGATTCAGTTAGAAATTTTTTCAGAGAAAATTCCATATTTACCTTCATTAAAAAAGAAAATGGGGCTTGAGTGTGTATAGTGGAGGAGTATATCCTTATTATGTTTATTTAAAACTATGGGTTCAATCTCTTACTGAAAAAGAAACTCTTGAAATAAGTCATGAGAATTACAACAACCAGCATGCTTAGCTTAGATACAGAAAACTGAAAGGTGAATCTATATGCAATAAAAGTAACATGTAAAAAGCAATTTAAGAAAAATGTACTTTCTGAATTGTAGCCGTTTAGTTCTATTGTTGAATTCCTTTGTCTTGTATATTTTATTTCTGAACTGCTTCAAATAATTTTAAAAAGTTATAGAGAACAAATAACATAAATACAATAAGCATTCCCAATTAAAGATCTTTTTGAGTCAACTTTCTCATGCTACACCAAAAATCGAACAATTAAAATTCAGTTCTCAAAGAATGGAATTACATACTTGGAATATTAACTGTTAAGTTAGAAAAGATTAGGGGCTGGGGATTTAGCTCAGCGGCATAAGCGCCTGCCTTGCAAGCAGGCAGTCGTGGGTTCGATCCCTGGTACCGATAAAAAGGAAAAAAAAAAAAAAAAAAAAAAATTAAGAAAAGATTTTGGCCTCTATTCAGTGAATTTCTGGTCTGCCAATATAAATATAAAATTATAAATAAAGGTCTAACATAAAAACTATAACAAATTTCCTATAGTTTTATATGTATAATACCCTTCCTAGAAGAACTAAAGACCTAGAATTTTATAAAAATGAAATTTTGAATTAAGCTAAATTGTGTTTTAATGTACAAAAGTTTGGAAATTTAAAAATTCTTTTGATCAAATATGTTTATCTACCAATTTTAAAATATTTGAAATGCCACTAAGAATAAAAAAATCAGCTTCTGTGGCAAACACAAGCAAAAACTGCATTAACCAGTAAGATGTGAAAGACACAAATATATTATAAATGTATGAAGTGCAAAGGACTGAAAGAATATTTAGACTAGCTCAAGGAAATTTAAAAAGATGACAGCAATAATAAAATTAATAGGATATTTGAGGTGTATTTTTAAAATAAATATTTGCTATTTAAAACAAGCATGCTTCAGATACAAAATATTTATTACATGAAAATGTAATAATTGACAAACTACCAATTTTTTAAACTTAGAAAAAGTACTAAGTTATTTTGTAATTCCTTAAAAAAAAAGACATATTTTTGTTATTCAAGTTAATTTACTTCCAAGTTACAAAAGTTATAAAATTTTGGTTTAAAAAATGCCTATGAGTGCCTCTATTTATTTTGCTATGCCATGACAAAAACAAAGTATCTTTGAAATGCTTTGAGTTTTTAAATGGATAATGTTTGCACAACATTAAATGGATAATGTTTGCACAACAATTTCTATAAGTAACTTTTGTATCAATAATAGGCCAACATATACCCTAAATACCATCAGTAGAAACAGGACCCATTAATGATACAGCATGGAACTTAAAGTATTTCTCAATTTACGCACAATAATCCATCTGACTAGGCTAGTGATATTTAAAAGAATATGGTTAGTCACACTCTCCTGGTATTACTGAATATGCTAGAACTCTCATCAAATGAATAGCAATTCCATTATCTCATTTTTTCTCTAAATTCCTTGTCTCCAGGTTGGAATAGCCCTAAGGAGAAAAACAGAAAAACAATTATAAATATGTGGGAAAATTTTTTACAAGACTCAAACCTATCTGATTAAATATTAACTGTTAAAATGTGTGTATGTGTACATATATAAACACACGTGTGTATGTATTAGCATTTTCAGTCTGTTATTATAAAATCCACAAGTTGCATAGAATAACATCCAATTATTAAGTTTCTGAAAAGTGCACATCCCTCTTCTAACTCCTTTTTACCTGTGTGGGATATGTAGAAGTGGCCCAGAGCCTGCTGGTCCGATGCTTTTAGTCCGTTCTTCCCAGCCTTTGGTAGGTTTGTAAAGCCTGGAAGGATCTCTACTAACATTATTTTCAACCTGCAATTAGAAAGCAATTTTTAAAAGCCTACAGTAATAAAACTGCCAATCTATTCAGTAAACTACTAGTTATATAGCTAAAATAAAATTTGTGGACTACATCAATCTATTAATAAATGATTATTTTTTCTGGTTCTATTATTTTATTTTATGTCTACTATGAGAGAAATTTAATATAGCTAAGTATAATAGCCAGACAATACATTTAGGATATATAACCACCAGTAAACCCTGGGCCTTTTACTTCAGGGCATTACTAGTGAGATTAAACAGTATATGTATAAAATGTATATGTATAAAATGAAGTATATGTATAAAATGAAGGTTTATATAGAAAGAAGGAAAGGAAATGATAAATAGAAGAGACAGAGAAATCATGGTCAACAAAAAGGGTGCTTAGAATGTAAAATGGTAGAATTCAAACAATAGTCCCTTAAATTATACTGTTATGCTCCCCAACATATAAATAAATATCAAATATAAAGTAGATATAGAAATGAGAGAACACATTTCATGTCCGTATCCTTACAAATCAAAGGATTATGATAACTAGGAGAGAGATAAAGAAACACTGATTATTAGTTACTATTATGGTTTATACCCCATAGCTTTCCCTTCAAAGCTTCTGAGCAGGACTTCCGAAGGCAACTGGATTAGGGGGTTACTGCTGGCTTTCTGTTATGAGGTGTGGTCCTGTCTGAAAAGGTGGCTGCTGGGGTGTGGCCTTTAGGGTTTATCTCTGTTTTCCTCAACCATGCCCTGCAGCCAGTGGACTATGGGCTGAAACCTCTGCACATACTAGGAGCCAAAATAAACCTCTCCTGTGGGGCAGAAGTGTCTCAGCAAAGAGGGAAGTGACTGAGATAGTCCTGTTACAGTCAGAAATAAGAAGTTCTGGGGGCTGTTGTATAGTAGGGTGAGAACAGATAAAAATTATGTTCTGTACATTTCAAAAATCTTTAAGAAACACTTTTTAATGTTTTTGTAATAAAGAAATGATAGCCATTTGAGAAGTACATATTCTTAACCCGATCTAAACATTACACTTTTTATATATATTGAAATATCAAATAGTATTCCATTAATATATACAACTTTTTTTAAGTTAAAGAATAAACTTAAAAGACAAAAATAAATTCATCTCAGTGCAGAGTACCTTTTCCTTTAATTTTGCCAATCTTCTTTCTTTTTTTGCCTTTTCCTCTTCCTTTGCCTGTCTATCTAGGATTTTCAACTCAAGTTTATATAAATCCTAAAAAAAAAACCCAAAAAATTATATTAAGAAAATAAAACTAGAATTTGTTTCAATGTTTGTTTCAATGCAAATAAAGTAAAATGAATGATTAGTACTCTTCTTCACTATTAATCTTTTCTAACAAAGGCTAACATTTTTGTTTTCTCTAAATATAACTAACATGTTATCTTTTCAGGTATCACATGTTTCACTTTAAAGTTTAATCTGACTTTAACTCTTTTACCAGATGAAGTATGTCCATTTTCATTTATCAATACAGACAGGCATAGATCTAGATCTCTCAAGTTACTTTATATTATCTATTTTATTTGTTTTCTGTTTTCTAAGTCTTTTATTATATAGTCTGCCTTCATTTTGTGTGGTGAGGTAGCATGTAATCTTTTGTTTTTTGGGGTGTTTTTATCTATACAATAAAAGAAATGAACTAAACTTTCCACCACTGGAGTATTTTTTCTTGAAATCTCTCTTATTTTTTGCTTTATGAATGTTACTGACATCCATTTTGATGCATACAACAGTTCATAACAGTTATATCTTACTTGCACCCTTTTGCAATTTAAAATATCCTTCTTTGCCTTTTTAATACTTTTGGACCCTGTTTCATTGTGTTTATTAACATTTTTCTTGTACACATTTCCTTCTACTTAATGAAGTATACATCAAGTAAGTACACTGCACCTGACAGGAATAAACAAAAACCACAAAACCTCTGTCTTCATGAGCTTCCATTACAGTGGGGACATAAACAGTGAAGAAATAAGCAATTTCTGTATCACATAAAGCCAGCCACTGTCAGGTATGACATTTGGCAGAGAAGACATTTGGCCTGGCTTGTGGCTACCTTTTCAGCTGTGTCTCTTGCTAGTTCCCACCTCCCCCTTGGTGCTCCAAGAATATTTAAAAGTATATAGTTTCCCCCAAAACCATTGTGTTACACTCCTCCGAGCAGTTATTCATGTTGTTGCATCCATTAGGAAAGACCTCCTTCCCTTCCCCTTTTTCTCCTTCAAAAATCAACTCATTCCCTTCTACCTTAGAGCTGTGTTAAGCATCCCTCTCGGTAGATCCACCTCTTAGTGGTCCACACCTCAAACATCATACTATCTATCACTTTCTTCTGAGATCTCTACTTCCATGTATCTTTTTCACTAGATTAGAACTGACTAGAAGTTAGGGAGCGTGGCTTACTCAATTTGGTATAGTAATGCTATTCTGCACAGGTCTAATGTATATATAAGATGCCTTCAATTCACTTTTGCTGACTTGAATCTGGAAATAATATCTCCATATGTAGCATTTAAAATTTATTTAGGAAGTGTATTTACTCACTCTTTCTTGAAACCTGGCAATTTCATCAGCCACAGTTTTCCTTTTGTCAGCCTTTTCTATCTTTTCCCTTATCTCCTTTTCAAGCTTCAGAAATTCTTCCTGTTCTTTCTTCTGCTGGGTGTAACTTTCTAGTAGTAATTTTAGTTTAAGCTGGCTTTGGCGCTCTTTCTGCTGCTTCTTCTCTTTCTCTTCCTCTTCTTTTAACTTAGAAGCATATTTCATGGACAGCTGTATATGTTTCTGTTTTTTCCAAGCTTCGATTGCTAGCTTCTGTTTCTTCCTTTCTTCCTCTTTTTGCTTTTGATTACCTTCTGGTTTATTATGAAAAAGCACAGGAATGTTGTCTGACTTCTCTTTTAACTTGAAAATTTCCTCCTTCTTTTGCTGCTTCTTAGTTTTCCAATCTTGAATAGACTAAAATTTTTTTAAAAAGATAGCAAAAGAAAGTTTTTAAATAAACTCAAACCATTTTTCTAAAACTGATTAGAGGATGCTGCATTCTTAGGTTTTTAAGTTTTGTTTTGAACGAATACAACTGTTTTTTTATTTCTGTTCTTACAAAGTTTCTTCTCCTTACCTGCTTTGTTTTCATGGGCAACATCCCTCTAATCATTTCGCTTTACCGTCCATATTCCCTGTCGAGGCTTGGAATACTTTCTGAGTGATCTTTTTCTGGTCACATACCAGAAAAGGAATTAAAAATGGATCAGTTAAGAGCAAAACCCCTGAAGCCACTCTATTGGGGACCAAATCCTGGCTTTGCCATTTACTGAGTCTGACCACTGATGAGTTACTAACCTACTTTTGTCTCATTTTGGTTGGCTGCCAGTGGTAGGTAGAACTTCATGTTCACAAATGTATTTAAAATAGCGCAGGAACTGTATATAAAATATATAAAGATTATTTAACATTAGAATAGCCTTCTTATTGTCTACGCAACAACAGATGTATTACCTTTCCCAAATTAAAAAATGTTTCCACATCTTTGCTTATGGGGTATCATTCATTCATTCAGTAAATCCATATGTATTCAAGGCAACGTGATAGGATGCATAGGTAATTAAATAATGTCAAATGCCATGTAGTAGAGGGCTACTCAAAACACCAATCCCTAAAAACCAGGACTGCATATCAAAATGTGAATCAGTACACTCTTTACTTCAACAAATTTTTTATGAAAAAGCCAAAAGAACTAACAACATGCTCACTGGATCGTTGCCATGCGATTACTTCATTTCACTGTCGACCAGTAACAGTCTACAAAACAATATCCAGTCCATGGACCATGTTTGAGCAACACTGTTTGCAGGTAAGATAAGGACATAGATACTCCATAGCACATCTATTAAAAACTACTTATGAGAGAGAAAGGGGACTACTTATGGGGGGCTGGGCAAGAAGAAGGTAGGATCTATTCGGGGAAGATTTTGATTAAGGAAGTAGGAGAAGAAGAAAGTGGTATAGGAGGACAGAACAAGTCAAAGGCACTTGGCAAGTTCAGGTAAGTATCTTATTTGGTATTTTCATTTATACAAAATAGAGGATATTTGAAAGGAAAGACAAACATGGTAAATTTCAAATCCAACATCTTAAACTCAGTAGATTGAAAACTGAATTTTTGCTATTTTTCTCTAAATTTCCCTCTTTATCTCTAATATGTCCCATTTAGTAAGGGGCAGCTCTTTTTCATACCTGCTTCTACCTCAGTCCTATATCAGGTGTCAAGTTTCTTTTTTTTTTTTTTAAATTTTATTTAAAAGGAAAAAGAGAAAAACACAAAGCAAAACGAAGCGGTGTAAGGGTACAAGTAATACAGAACTACAAAAAAAAAAAAAAAACAGTAAGAAATCACCAGTTAATAGATTACATATTATCATCTTAGAAATAGTTGCTCAAATCACAGTATCAAAGAATACAAAGTGGACATTCAAACAGTGAGACTGCAAACAGTTGTGTTCAACGATCCAACCAAAAACATTAATACGGTCAGCTATTTAACACCCCTAAACACACTTGCTGTTGTATCCTTTAGAGCTCTTTTTTTCCCTCTCTTTTTTTACAACAAAATTTACACATTTTGGATTTTATTACTCTTTAGTTCTTATTACTTTTTGGGGGGGCGAGAATAAAGTCAAATATGGCAAAACAAAGCTGTCAGTCAAAACCAAGGATAGACATAGCACATGATGTAAAACAGAGTACAAGGTTATTAACAATGGTTATCAACAATGTCTCTTGTTTCCTTAAAAAGAACTGTCTATCTCATTAGATATTATAAAGTTGAACAAAACAGTAGAGAACAAGACCAATAAAACTTAAGCATTGTAAACATTATAGGACTTCCAAAGGAGACAATAGTCAAACCAGAATGGGCATCTTAGTGAATCTTATTGCCTTCAAAGTAGTTGCCTATACCCTCAAACTTGATGCTATCATACAGAATGGAACAGAGTCTAATCAGTCAAAACAAGATCGTGGGAGTATTACAAGACTTCAAAACAAGTTAATAGGAAATCAAAAAAAGTTACTATTATATATCCTGCTAATTTTTAAAATTTTTCCCCTTAATTAAAACAAACATAAGAAATAACTAAATAATTTTTTTAAAGAATAAGGGATAGATTGAGATAAAACAGGACATAACAATATAACAATATAGGTCAAAGCATGACTGTTTCAGCAACCTAGTGCTTCCCCACCAAATAACCCGACTTAATAGTAGTTACCATAGTGTTTTTTTCCTTGAAATATTTGAATAAAACTTCATATACTATAGCTTCAAATATTTCCATATCAAGAAGCCCAGAATAAAGCCTTTCCAATTAATAAGTGAAAACTTTATAAGGCTTCAAGGCCACCTAATGGGGAATCATGATTACCACACACTTTTATACATTTGAATCATTACTTATATTAGGGAAACTATTCAGTATTCACACATGCGAGATGGATTTATTTCACTTATGAGTATGGTCTCAAGCTGCGCCCATTTATTGATAAATATCTCAATGTGATCCTTCTTTATAGCTGAATAATACTCCATTGTATAGAAATACCACAACTTTTTTAGCCATTCCTCAGTTGATGGACACTTGGGTTGTTTCCAAGATCTGGCGATTATAAATTGTGCTGCTATAAACTGAGGTGCACATATATCACTGTGGTATGATGCTTTCAGTTCTTCTGGGAATATGCCTAGATGTGGAATAGCTGGAATAAATGGGACCTCCCATGCCAACTTTTTGAGAAATCTCCAGACTGACCTCCACAAAGGCTGCACCAGTCTACACTCCCACCAACAGTGCAGGAGAGTTCCTTTTTCCCCACAGCCTCTCCAGCATTTGTTGTTGTTGGTTTTCTTGAAACTGGCCATTCTTTCAGGAGTGAGATGGTATCTCAGTGTGGTTTTAATTTGCATTTCTCTAATGACCAATGATGATGAACATATTTTCATGTTTTTATTTGCCATTTGCATTTCTTCATCTGAGAAGTGCGTATTCATCTCAGATGCCTGTTTTTGGATTGGGTCTTTGAATTTTGGGGGTCTGAGTTTTTTTAATTCTTTATATGTTTTAGACAAGAGTCCCTTGTCTGAGAGAGAGAGTTCACTAAAATATTTTCCCAGTTTGTGGGTTTTCTTTTCACTATGCTGGAGATTTCTTTTGACATGCAGAAACTTTTTAATAAGAAGTAGTCCCAGTTATTGATTCTGGGAAGTATTTCCTGTGCGGTTTGAGTCCTGTTCATGAATTCTCTACCTACTCCTATGTCTTCAAGGTTTCTACCCAATTTGTCTTCCAATAGATTTAGTGTTTTTGTTTTAATATTCAGATCTTTGACCCATTTAGATTTTAATTTAGTACATGGTGATAGACATGGGTCTAGCTTTAGTTTTCGGCAAATGGAAAGCCAGTTTTTCCAACACCATTTATTAAAGAGACTGTCGTTCTTCCAGTGAACCTGCTTGGCTCCTTTATCAAAGATAAGGTGGTTGAGTGTGTTTGTAGTTGTGGTTGTATCTTCTAATCTATTCCACTGATCTTTGGTTCTGTTTTGATTCCAATACCATGTTGATTTTACTACTGTTGCTTTGTAGTATAACTTCAAGTCAGGGATTGTGATGCCTCCTGCTTTGTCTTTGCTGCTTAGAATTGCCTTTGCTATTCTAGGTCTCTTCTGGTTCCAGATGAAATTTAGGAGTGATTTCTCTAGATCTATAAGGTATGTTGACGGTATCTCTATTGGGATTGCATTGAATCTGTACAACAGTTTTGGGTGAATGGCCATCTTCACAATGTTTGTTCTTCCTATCCATGAGCAAGGGATGTCTTTCCATTTTCTGAGATCATCCTCAATTTCCTTTTTCAGTGTATTATAATTTTCACTGTAAAAGTCTTTCACTTCTTTCATAAGAGTAATTCCTAAATATTTCATTTTTTTGCTTGCTATGTGAAGAGTGCAGTTTCTCTTATTTCCCTCTCTGTGATTTTGTTGTTCGTGTATAGGAATGCTATTGATTTCTGAGTATTGATTTTGTATCCAGCCACATTACTGAATTTATTTATTGTATCTAAGAGTCTTTCAATGGAGTTTAGGGGGTCTTCTGTTTAGAGTATCATGTCATCTGCAAACAATGATAATTTAACTTCTTCTTTTCCTATCTTTACCCCTTTTATTTCTCTCTCTTGCCTAATTGCTCTGGCTAGTACTTCCAGTACTATATTAAATAGGAGTGGTGATAAAGGACATCCTTGTCTTGTGCCTGATTTTCAAGTAAAGGCTTTCAATTTTTGGCGATTTAGTATGATGCTGGCTGTTGGTTTGTCATAAATGGCCTTTATTATATTGAGGTAAAGACCATCTATTCCAATTTTCTGTAAAGTTCTTATCATGAATAAATGTTGGACCTTATCGAAGGCTTTTTCTGCATCTATAGAAATGATCACGTGATTCTTATTTTTGGCTTTATTGATATGGTGGATTACATTTATTGATTTGCGTATGTTGAACCATCCTTGCATTCCTGGGATGAATCCCACTTGGTCATCTTCTGGATGATTTGCTGCATCCTATTTGCCAATATTTTATTGAGGATTTTTGCATCTGTGTTCATTAGGGATATCGGTCTATAGTTCTCTTTTTCAGTTGGGTCTTTCTCAGGTTTTGGTACTAGAGTAATATTTGCTTCCAGGAATGACTTAGGAAGGATTGCTTCCCTTTCAATTTCATTGACTAGTTTGAGGAGTGTCGGCATTAGGTCTTCTTTGTATTTCTTGTAGAATTCTGCAGTGAATCCATCTGGGCCTGGGCTCTTCTTGGTGGGCAAGGACTTAATTACATTTTCAATTTCATTAACAGAGATTGGGTTATTCAACAGTTTTACATCCTCTTGATCTAGCTTTGGTACTTCGTATGTTTCTAAGAATCTGTCTATTTCTTTTGTGTTATCAAACTTTTGAGAGCAGAGGTTTTCGAAATAGGTGTTGATGATCTTCTGTATTTCTATTGGGTCTGTAGTGATTTCACCTTTCTCATTTCTTATTGAATGAATTTGACCTTTTTCTTCCCTTTTTTAAAATAAGGTTGGCTAGGGGCTTATCGATTTTATTTATTCTTTCAAAGAACCAACTCTTTGATTCGTTGATTCTTTGGATTGTTTTCTTAGTCTCTATTGCATTGATTTCTGTTCTGATTTTTATAATTTCCTCTCTTCTTTTGGCTTTGGGCTTGACTTGCTCTTCTTTTTCTAGCTGTTTGAGATGTAGCATCAAGTTATTTATTTGTATTCATTCTGTTTTCCTGATGTGGGAACTCAGTGCAATAAATTTTCCTCTCAGGACGGCTTTCATTGCATCCCACAAATTCCAGTAAGTTGTATCTGCATTTTCATTTTCTTTTAGGTATTGTTTAATTTCTTCTGTAATTTCTTCTGTGACCCACTGATTACTCAAGAGTGTGTTATTCAGTTCCCATGTGTTTGCGGGATTTTTGCAGTGTCTTTTATCATTAATTTCTAATTTCAGAGCGCTATGATCCGATAACATGCAAGGGATGATTTCAACTTTTTTGCATTTGCTTAAATATGTTCTGTGAGCTAATATATGGTTAATTTTAGAGAATGATCCATGTACTGCTGAGAAGAATGTGTATTCTGATGTTGTTGGGTGGAACATTCTGTATATGTCTATCAAACCCATTTGTTTGCAGGTGTGATTCAGTTCTGTTATTTCTTTGCTCATTTTCTGTCTGGTTGATCTGCCCCTTGGTGTCAATGGCGTATTAAGGCCTCCTCTTACAATTGTGTTACTGATAATTTGAGTTTTCATTTCTGTTAATAGTTGTTTTATATAACTGGGTGCTCTGGAGTTTGGTGCATATATATTTAAGATAGTTATCTCTTCCTCTTGGAGTTTTCCCCTTACGAGTATGTAGTGACCTTCTTTGTCCTTTACGGTCATTGTTGATTTAAAGTTCACATTGTCTGCAAACAGAATGGCTACTCCTGCCTTTTTTTGGATTCCTGCTGCATGAAGTATTGTTTTCCGTCCTTTGACTTTCAGTCTGTGAGTATCCTTCTGGGTTAGATGGGTTTCCTGTAAACAGCATATGGTTGGATTTTGTTTCTTGATCCATTCTGCTAGTCTGTTTCTTTTGATTGGTGCATTGAGACCATTTACATTAATGTTTATTACTGTTAAATGCCGGTTTATTGTTGGAATGTTATCTCTCTGCTGTTGCATCTTTATCTTTCTGTTCTGTTTATTTGCTTTGCTTAGTGGTTTTTTCCTTTTTGTATCTAAACTGTCTTTCAATATTTTTTGCAGGGTTGGTTTGGTGTTCATGAAGTTCTTCAGCTGTTCTTTGTCATGGAAGTATCGTATTTCACCATCAATTTTGAATGATAGTTTTGCAGGATATATCAGTCTAGGTTGGAAATCATTTTGCTTTAGGATCTGGAATACTTCACTCCATGCTCTTCTTGACTTTATTGTTTGTGCTGAGAAGTCTGCTGTGATTCTGATAGGTTTTCCTTTATAAGTGATCTATCTTTTCTCTCTGACAGCTTTTAATAATCTATTCTTGTGTTGGATTTCTGGGATGGTGATTATTATATGTCTGGGTGTAGTTTTATTTTGTTTATGACTATTTGGAGTTCTATATGCTTCACTGATCCTGATGTCGATTTCTGATCTCATGCTTGGGAAATTTTCAGCTATCACTTCTCTAAATATCCTCTTGACATCCTTTATGTTGTCTCTTTTTCATTAATCCCTATCATTCTTATGTTATTCTTCTTTGCATCATCTTGCAGTTGTTGAATTGTTGTTTCCTGATTCCTTGTTATGTTTAAAAGATCTTTCATTTCCTGTTCACTAGCTGCAATCCTGTCTTCAAGGTCTGAAATTCCATCTTCACTTTCATTATGGCAGTTTTTACAACTTTCAGTGGAGTTTTTTATTTCCTGTATATCTCTGTGCATCTGCATTATGTATTCTGTTTGTTTCTTATATTGCTCGTCTAGGGATTCTATCTTTTTGTTGAGTTCCTCCAATTTTTTATCTGTGTTTTCTTTAGATATTTTCAGAATCTCTTTCATTTCTTCTTTTATCTGGGGGATTATTTCGAGTTTGAATTTCTTTAAAGCTTCCTGGAGTTGCTTGTTAATTTCAGTAGCTATTGTGTCTGATATTTGAGGTGAATGGCATATATTTTCTTCTATATACATTGCTCCTAGGGTTTCTTGAGATGGACTGGAGGTTTGAGGTTGTAATTTGGTCTTTCGTTTTATCATTTTCCTATATTTCTGCGTTTCAAGTGTTATTTGAAAGCTTCCTCAGGATCTGTTGGATATCCCCTTCTATGTTTGCAGCTACTGAGACTCTGGCACCACGCTACCCCAAGCCACTGGGCCCGCAGAACCAATGGTCCTCCTCTCCCCGCTCAGAACTCCGCAGTTCCAGACAAGCTGTGCCTCAGGGACACTGTGCGCCCACCTACCCCTTGGAAGCTCCAGAGCTCTCCAATCGCAGCCGGGATGTTGAGGCAGAGGTAGACGCCTCAAGCCCACCTCTCCACTCCACTGCACCTGGAAGCCTCGAGGGACCCAAACAGTCTGGGCTCTGGGCAGAGTGCGCAGAGCACTCACCACAGGCCGCAGGGCCCCCGGAACCCGCTATGCTCCACCGCTTGCCAAGACATCCCCAGTCCTTCAGACACACAGTGAGGCCGATGCAGGTGCCCCAGATCCGCCCAGTTCCTCCTCTGCACACCCATGGCTAGGTGCGGGAGGCCCAAACAGGCTGGGCTCTGGGGATAGTGTGGGCCCGCCCACCCGTTGGAAGCTCAGCAGTTCTCCAAGTGCAGCCAGGATGGGGAGGCAGATGTAGAGGCTACAAACCCACTTCTCCACTTCATTGCACCCGGAAGCCTGGAGGGTATGGAACATTCTGGGATTTGGGCAGAGTGCGCTGAGCACTCACCACAGGCCGCGGTGCCTCAGGAACCTGCGATCCCTCCCTGCTTGCTGAGATATCCACAGTCCTCCAGATACACGGGGAGGCCGATGCAGGCGCCCCAGATCTGCCCAGCCCCTCCACTGCACACCGATGGCTAGGCGCCGCAGTCCGAAACAGGCTGGGCCCGGGGTTAGTGTGGGCCCGCCCACCCGTCGGAAGCTCAGCAGTTCTCAGTTGTCAAGTTTCAAGAAAGGAGTTGAGAAAGAATAATTAAGAATTGATATGGTCTCCTCTTCTAGAGAAGGAGTTCTCAAATGTAAGCTTGGAAAAGTAACCCCTAAGTTCTGATTAGATCTGTAAGTCTGAGTCTGGTAGCTTTTAACAATTTCCCTAGCACTAGTGATTTTACTGGTTTACAGGGCCAAATGAAAAGAAACCCATGTTTTTTATATCCTAGAAAACTCAACTCTTAATAGCTTATTACTTTAAGCCTTTAAAAATCTCTCAAAAATCCCCCAAAACCTCCCCCAATCAAGTTATTACAGAGGATGGAAAACAATGATGACAATGACAAAAAACAAGCTGCTTTTTCTAAAACTCTAAACACAGAATCAGTTCTTCCTTCATGCTCTAGGTATGTCACCTGCTGACCAGGTAAGTACATAGTTAAACAGATTCAGACTGTCTGTGTTTGGGGATTCTGGTAATCAGAGGGAGTACGAAGAGCATCTGGTGGTTGCCAGTCAGGCGTACAGTTAACCATACTATGATGTACAGAACTCTCCACCAAAACAGTTGTCTAATCCACAATGTCCACGGTGCCAAGGCTGAGAAACCCTAACCTAAAACAAGACACACTAGTATTTTTGTGAAAATTAAACTTTGGAGATATTTGCTATAAGGATTATGTCTTCTATGTGGTAGCCAAAAGTTTGTATCTTTAAACAATAAAAGCTGAGCTAAAAAATCTCACAGAAACTTTTTTTGGGGCATGGGGTGGGTTGTGCTGGGAATGGAACCCCACACCATGTGCTTGGTAGGCAAATGCTCCACCTCTGAGGATACAACCCCAGCCCCATCAAAAAAACTTAATAGTCAAAGTTTTTAATTGCCTCTTTTCTAATCAAAATAGCGAAGCTTTTGCTGTTAAAATAAATTTTTCCCAAAATCTGTTTAGATCTGAGTTCACCACAGTCATAGAAAGTGACCACAGAAGGTTTTGCCCACAGTTTTACAGCCTATTCTATAATTTTTTGGGCTAGAAATGTCTGGCCTCAAGGAAGTCCAACTACAGTTCTCTCTTCTGGATTATTTAAATTCTCAAAATCTTAGTTTTATCTTCTGTAAGACGTGGAGAAACAACTACATATGTAAGTCACGGGATTGCTGCAAAATCAGTGGTTCTGAGAGTTTATCATAGTGCCTAGAACAAAAACATAATAGTAAATTATTACCTCTTTCTTTCTTTCTTCTAGAGCCAGAAATTTTTGATACCATTTTTCGTGCTGTTGAACTTCATCCTCTGTCCTTCCTGGAAGGTGTTCTAGGACTTCTCTCATAAATGCAGGCTTCCCTTTATGTTTGTTTCTCACCTTTACAAAGTTCTCGTGGTCATAAGAGTCCCAGCCTCCCTGTCGCCCTCCTGTTTGCTGAAGGAATTTTTCAAAATCTACTACTGCTTCTGGAAGAGTATTTGGTCTCATTTTGTCTACAGGAACTTTGCTTGAGATTGCTTTGAAAGCTTTCTCTGTTTCTGAATTACCCAAAGCCCATGAGTCAATTTTTCTTGATATGGCACTCAATTCATTATTTGTTGTTTTCTCTTCCTTAATAAGTTCATTGTATCTACAATTAAAAAAAAGTTTAAAAACATTTTAGCCAATCCATAATAATCCTTCATTTTCTTTCAATTTACTTCTGATTCGTCACTGCATCTTCTTCAGTTGACATTACTAATATTTATAAATTGAAGCCTTGAGAGGGGCTCTCTGAAATCAAAACAATCTTTAAAATTCTTATTATAAATTTGGATTTTATAGCATCCAAATATGAATGAAAATTTACTTTAAGCATTAAAAAGCCACATAAACCTTAAGACAACAATAGTCATTATACTGGTTTTATGTAAGACTCAAACACATAATAAAATGCTTGCATAAAACAACCTAGTGGTGAGTTATCAGGAAATAAAATTTAATTTTATATTAAAATGAGTTTAAAACATACATCAGTCTTTGCTCTTCTTTAAAAGTGTTAATTGCATTTTCAATTTCTTCCATCATTTCTCTGAGCTTTTCAACAACTGTAAAAAGAAAAAAAAAAACAATTATGCCACATGTCAGTGTAACAGTTAATACATGGGTCAACATGAGAACGTGAGCAGTTTAGAAGTTTAGTAGAGGCCAGGGTCCTCACTTTGTAAACGTTCTCATCCTATGCAAGAGGAAGGCATAGAGGTGGTGTAAGAGCTATACCCACCCTAGGCAGTGGTAGACTGTCGCCCAATGTAAGGAAAGAAAACAGGCTTGCTCTTTCCCCACTTTGCTCCTGCTGCTTTAGCTGTTTTCTGCCATCTTGAAGTGTTGCCCCTGTGCCATGCCACCCTGCCATACAGAGAACAGGCTTGGGAAGTTTCTGCTGGGAAGCAGGATGACATTAGGTTGTTGACTTCAGACAATGTGTTATGGCTTGGGAGAAAGTGAGTCTGCATTTTGCTCTTGTTCAGAGACTCTGCCTGAGACTGAGATTAAGGACATCAGACTAATTAATCTGGCAGAAGAAATCTCAAGGCAGTCGAATGTTGAGGAGGTGGCATGGCTATTGTTGGAGACTTCTGGCCAGATCTATGTTGGAGAATCAAGACCAAGGAGTGCAGCAGGTGATTTAAAATGTGAGTTTGGCCAGAAAGGAAGCTCCAGTAAAGTTGTGGACTACAAAGATAGAGCTGAGATCTCAATTGCTGAGAAGAAACAGTAAACTATAAAACACAGCCTCAAGCATTAAAAGAAGCAGCAAGTCTCCACTCATTTTAGCAAAACTGCTAAAATGAAAGACCTTGTTTTGAAGAGCACCATGGTCCAGAATGGTGGCAATACAAACAATTTGTTCCTTAGAACTGGGTTCAGAATGCCCAGTAATCCAGGCACTCGACATAAAGGCAACAGAGAAGAAACCCTGGCTACTGCATCAGCTGGCAGTAGACCTTGATATCATCCACATGGTGTTGGTTTTAAGTGTATGCAGAATGTAAAAGTTTCAGGGTTAAGAAGGCTTCCACCCAGGAGGCCAGGCAGTGTGTCCAGAAAGGGCAGTGTGAAGCTGCCAGGGTAAAGCTGAAGGTACAGTGGAGACCCAGAAGTTTGGTAATGCCAGGAATATGGATGATTTAAGGAGAGCTGTAAGGAGAGAGCAAAACAGGCCTAAGACAGAAGCTGTGGGAGCTATAGCTACCATAAATACCATAGGGGTGTAGTCACACAAGACACACAACATGTCACAGATTGCCTCAGATGTTTATATAGAACAATATTTAATGATTGCCCTGCTGGATTTTGGACTTGCTTTGGTTCCAATCCTCTGTATCCCTGTTTGTAACTTTCGAAATGAAAATGTTTATCATGTGTTATTGCATGCTGGAAGTGTTTAACTTTTCATTTGTATACAGGCTTGCAGCTAAGTTTGCCTTACATCTTGGAGGACATTTGGGACTTGGACTTTTCCGCAATGCTAAAACTGTTAGGACTATGGTAACTCTTGCAGATGAACTAAACACCTTTTGCATAAAGGGATATGCAAGAGTCTTTGGGGAGCCAGGGTGGAATATTATGATTCTAACATAACATAATGTTAATAGACTTAATACTGGCTCTTAAGGATTGTTAAACCTGTGCTATAATGTTCAAGTTGCAAAGTGTTAAAAATAAGTTTGTCTTTGTATCTGGAAACAGTTTAAAGAAACAGGTCTTGTTGTCAAGTTGAGAAAGGGTGGACTATAATAGTTGTGTCAAATTGAGAAGTTTAGAAGTTTAATGAAGTGACTAAGTAGGGGGCCAGGGCCCTCACTTTGTAAATATTCTTATACTGCACAGCAGGAGGGCAGGGAGATTCTGTGAGTGGCATACCTGTCCTATAGAGTGATAGCCTACTTACAATAAACAGGAGGAAAAGACCCTTGCTCCTCCATCCCCTTTTGGCTCCTGCTGCTTTTGCTGTCTTCTGTCACCTTGAAATATTGCCCCTGTGCCATGCCACCCTGACTTGCGGCCAGCTGATTATGAACTGAAACTTTCACAAACCATGAGCTAAAAAACCTTTCCTTCCTTAATTTTGGGAATCAGTTATTCTGTCTTAGCAATGAGAGAAAAGTAAACAAGGCAATCAGTATGGCTGAGTTAAAAATTAAGAAAGATACATGGAATGTTCCTCTAAAATTTAAAAATATTTCTTAGCCTGCGGAATTAAGATTAACTGTGCACAAAATTGTATTTTTTTCTTTGTGGTATTAGGGATTGAATCCAGGATCTTGGTGCTGAACCATACCCCTTGTGCTTTTTATTTTGTGCCAGTGTGCCCAAACTGGGCTCAAACTTTCATCCTCCTGCCCCAACCTCTCAGAGTATTGTGATATCAGGCACACATTTAGCCAATTGGGCTAAATGTAAATTTTGTGATATCGGGCACACATTTAGCCAACGGGGCTAAATGTAAATTTTTATAACTGCAATTTTTTATGATTAGAGATTTTTTTCTTATGTATGCATTCTAATTAAATATAATTAATATTTGTACTAAAATTATTTTGTACTAAACATTAACGTTCAACTTGCAGCTTTTATTTAACAAGACATGGTTAGATATAAACAGAGCATTTCCTTTTCCAACAGCTATATATGTTATTTCATTGTTTAAATTTATGCTAATTCATTTAATCACTTCGATGATGAGCCTTTAAATATACAAAGTGCAAGAGTAAAAATCCTTTATATATATTTTAACATGCTCAAAGGAGCATTTTTAGAGACTAACTAGTAAACTTAAAATGTTAAATAAAAAAAGTATGTCCACTTTACCACGTTAGATACTGTCATATTGCCTTTGAAAGACTCTCCCAACTCTCATGATTTCCCCAGAGCAACACTTCCTATGTACTTTTACTCATTTCCAAAATGAGATACAAAAATTTATCATCCTTAAGTTGATATTTCTGTGATCATTAATAAGCCTGAGCATTTTTCATATATGTTTTATATTTCTTTTGTACACTTGCACACCTTACAATTTTCTTATTCTTTTACTATTAGATCATTTATGTTGGTCACTCAAACTTGTAGGCCATATATTTATATTTTCAAATATTTACATAAATATAGCTAACATTTTTTAAATTTGTCTTTCAACCTTGCTTATGGGTTTAAGCATTAGAGTCCAATATGTGCACTTTTTTGTCCTATTTTCTAATTTTATCCATCCTATAAGATAATGTACTATTATAAAAATAGTAATCTACCTTCTCTTCTAGTATTTTTATGGTTTCACTTAATTTAGTGAGTATAATATTCACATTTACATTTTCAATATGCCCTGTGTTATAAGCATACAGAAATGCTTTAGTGTATGTTTCATTTTCTCTTTGACAGGCCTAAGTTTTACCTAAGTTTTATGATCTCTATTTTATTTATTTTTGGTTTAAAGAGAAAAAGAAACAGAAAAATCAAGAAGCAAAGAAACAAACAACAACAAAGCAAAATGACAACAACAACAAAAATAGTGATACAGGATTTCAAAACAAAATGATAGGAACTTAACAATGGTTGTAATGTATATTGTTCTCTTCATAATAGTTGCTCAGGTCACTAGATACAAGAATAAAACAGAACAAAACACTGGATTTCAAAACAGGACAGAAGGAATTCCCCCACAGTTGCTATAATACATATTGTTATCCTCCAAACAGATGCTTTGTAGGCTTTGGGCCTACAAAGTCAGTCAAACAACACAAGCATTAAGGTTTTTTTGTTTGTTTGTTTTTACTTCAGTTGCTATCATCTCAGCTGAGTTCCTCTAAATCAGCTTACTAGGGCCATGGGGGTTGGGGGAAGGCACACTGGCATTGTTCTTCCTTTCTCCAGCCCACATGAGTTTTCAGTAACAAATTTAGTATAAGCAAAGAGGTAAAGATAGTTTTGTCTGTCTCCAAAAATTAGCACTTGCCTCAATACATACAACTGAAACTTTCCTTATGTAATTGAAATGTGTCTGAAAAGTAACTATTTCAAAAACAGAATGACAGGAAAAGCATTGGACTATGAATCAGTAATTTTAATGCTTAATTAGCCAAATCAAATGTTTCTGTACTAGAGTCTCCATCTTAAAAACGACACTAATATCTGTTCTGTCTGCCTTACAGTTTTTAAGGATTTGATAGTACTTTAAAGGTTAATAAAACACATAAACATCTGATACTACAGTACTCCAATGTAACTTTATTAATCCTTAGTCAGTAGCATTGCGCTTCATTAATGCCAAGTAGAAAAACAGATATGTTTCATATGAGCTCCACTGATGCCAAATAAAAAACCAGATATGTCTCATACTGGAAAAGCATAAATTCTTCTAATTAGCAACAGAAAATACTAATTTATACAAGAAAGACGCTTAACATTTAAATTTACTTACAATCAGGTGTAGGCTTCACATCCTTTAACTGATGCTGAAGTTTCTTTACATTGTTATGTATTTTGGCTAATTGTTGTTGGATTTTTGCTCCTATAAGGAAGAAGTATATCCTTCAATTCTGTGACAAATATGGTTATAATTAAGATTATATAAGTAAGACTGATTATAATTACTTAGCAAAAGATAACCAAGAACAATTAAAGAAAAAAGTAGTCAAAAACAATTCAACATTGTTAGTCTAAAGCATCTTTCATTTCAAGATTGGAAAGCACAACGAATTCAATCTTACTATAAATCTGTGGCAAGGAATTTTCTTTTTCTCTGTGGGTACAGATACAGTTTTAAATATATGGCCAGTAGCTTATTTTTAGCATGTTTTATTCTTTAAAATCATTTTTTAAATTTGTTGTTTATAAGAATAAAATTTGATCTTATCTTTATGGTAAGAATATCAAGACTGTCTAAGCAGTATTAATTCTAGAATACTGACAAACTTAACTTTTCCTAAACACATCCTCCTCTAAGACAGGAGTGGGTGATATCTCTTGATATCAGCAACAAGGTTTCTCAGGTGCCATTTAGAGTTTCTATTCCAAAAGTGGCAAACCCCAACCAGGGGGCCAACCTGAAATAAAATGTTGATGCCAGAATAAAAGCTTGAAAACAAATAAAGGTTTCAGACATTTTCAGGTATTTTTTTCTATAGTAAAAAAGACTAGATTCTTCTCTTATTTTTTTTCTGTCATAATAAGTTTAATACTTATTTTTAAATCAGTATGTTAGAAATATTTATCCATATATACTCATATAATAGTAGTATTATTTTATTACCATTGGATACTTTATGCATCCTAATCTTTTTTGATTTTGCAACACTTTATAAACAGTTTTTAAAGATTTCAGTGATGTTTAAGGATCGAACACAAGGGCTATATACATGTTATGGCAAGAGCTCAAACACTGAGCTATGTCCAAATGAAATCTTGCTCACTGCTGGAACTTCAGGCAATAAACTTATTCAGAGAAGTTTAATAATTAGAAAACATTTTATCTTTGCTATAGCTTCATAAGCTACAGCAATATCGATACAGGGCAAAATAGTCTTATGTATTTATGTGGAACTGAAACTTCCCTTATCTGGAAAAAGAAAGAGTACGGCATAATCAAGCCACTGAAGCATAACATGGTATAAATTCAGGCTAAAACTGAGACACAGCATTTGATGTAAGAAATAGGTATTCACTATTTCTGAACTGAAAGGAAAGGATAGCTTCTATATCTATTATATTAGATAATATAGTCCTCTTAAACAAAAAACCTCCAGTTGTATACTGAGGGATATTAAAATGCTGCTTGTCATATGATAAGAGATCACTTCTTAAAAATAGTATAATCTTATATTCTGAAAGAAAAAACTAGGAATTTCTTTTGGTTGGCAGTATAAGGTACCATGAGCAATCTAATCTTTACATACAAGTCAATGTTACAAAGTTTAGTTAATTGATAACCATTATTTTCCTGTAAGCAATGCTAACTAGCTTTTTCTTACAAGGATTTTGCAGCATATAGAATCTAGTAATCTCTCTCGGGGTGTGGGGTTTGAGGCAGTCTCACTCTGTAGCTCAGACTGCCCTTGACCTTGCTTAGGTAGCTCAGGCTGGCCTCAAACTCCTGGCAATCCTCCTACCTCTGCCTCCGAGTGCTGGGAATACAGGTACGCCTCACCGTGGCTGGCAGAATCTAGTACTCTTAAAGGGTTACAACTTAGTACTCTCTCAGATGCAGAAGACAGCTCTGCTGAGGTAGAAACTGCTAAGTATCTGAGGAAAGTAGGATTTAAGCAACTATGTGTTGCGACCACTTCACATAGCTACTGGTTGTAGAGTAAGTCTCCTGATGCTTAGAGTACAGAGCTCAGTCAACAACGCTAGGTTGATGAGCTAAGATTAGATTGCTCAGGAATCAATTTGCTTTTCTGTTAAGAAATTCTAACAACATTTAGTGATTTGTCAATCAAAGAACCCCAAACTGTTTTTCATATTAAATTGGAGCAAGTAGAAAGCAATCCAGTTAGGCTGAGTAAACAGTAACCTGAAATAATAAACACAAATTGTGTCCTAAAAAGACAAAATTATTACCAACTAAAATATCTTCATAGAGGATGTAACATAGTCACTATGCGAAGACAAAGACAGGGCAAAATTACAACTTTATATCACTCAGCAGTTTTTAGTTCATGAACTCAACTTACTTTCTATTTTCCTGCTGTTAATCAACTTATTTTCCAATTCTTCCAGCACACTATGCTCAATCCTGAAGTCATTTTTTTGGTTGTAGAAATGACTGTGTTTATCTTTCTCTATAATAATAACTCTTGAGGAAAAGAAACAAATGGTATATTTTTAGTTACTTAAAATGTGAAGGAACTCATAAGAATCAGTATTTCATATTACTTCATTTAAAGAGATAGAATATAATTATTTAGATTAAAGAGGCTATGGACAAAAATATTAGTTAAAATAATAGGGAAGAGTTAAACTCACCTAAAATCAAACGCAATTTTAGCTATTAAATTATAAAATGTTAATTTAAGAAAATGTGGTAATTTCCTTCTTTTGAAACTACACAGGCCTGTGGGTGTGGATTCCACTGTACTCTTCTTGGGGTCTGAAAAGGACTGTCACGGCTGATGACTACTTTCCTTACACTGTTTACTTTGTAACCTTAGCAAAGATGTTAACCTCTCCTCTTGTGACCTTCTTCATTACCCACACAGATAATAACAGGTCTCCATTACCTAGGAGGGCACAGATAGCATCAAAGGAGATGACATACGTGAGGGATCCTTGAACAACATGTATATTTCTATTAGGGAAATGCAAGTTAATATTATCTGCGGTACAGGGATCGAATCTAGGGCCTTTGTGCTCATCTACATGCCCAGCCCCCAACCCTGTTTCTGTTTTTATTTTTGAAGATAGTATTGTTAAGTTGCTAAATTGCCCAAACTGGGCCTGAATTTGTAGACCTTCTGTCTCAGCACTGATAATTCTAATACAAAAACTTCAAGAGGCAAACAGATTGTTTATTTAAGGGATGTTGCCTACATTTAATTCAAAGCTTCTTTTATTTTATAGTTGTTTCTTGGATACAGACCATTTACCAGTAATGAATTCTAACTGCTAGTTTGATCCTTCTGTAAAATAAAACAAAAAATACACTAATAAGAACTTTTTCTGTTGTTTGGGCAAAGAAATTAATGTTCTCAACAGTTATTTTATTTCTCTCACCAGCAAAACTTGACAGAATATTTTCCTCAACCCTGAGGGGAATGATGGGGGAGTGTCTCTAGCTACAGATTTAATTTCACACGACCCGAGGGGTGACTATTTAAGATAGTTTCCTAGTCTTTTTCACCTTGCTGCATAGAGAAAAATTTATGATTAGGCATCCTGGAGGAAATGGATGCAAGTGTTCCAAGCCCTACAAGCTGATGGTTTTTATCTTAGCTGAAGCTTAAATAAGAAAACTTGTATGGTTTGAAAGGTGGCAAGAGATATACTGCCAACTGGAGCAGATTTAAGATGGCCACTGAAATCTTGTGTTAAGGACTGAAAAGTCAATCTAGGCTCTGGCTGGTGGTGGGGAGATAATTTTTTTTTTAATTTTATTTAAGGAAAAAAAGAAAAAAAGCAGAGAAATGGTACAAGTTATACAGATTTACAGAAAAAAAAACAGTAGGAAATCACTAGTTGATGGATTATATATTGTCATCTTAGAAATAATTGTTCAAGTTACAAAATTAAAGCTTATAAAGTGGACATTCCAACAGTGAGACTGTAAACAGTTCTGTTCAATGATCCAACAAAACTCAGTAAAATCATTATCTATCTTACACACTTAAATATACATGCAGTTATATCATTTAGAGCACTTTCTTTTCCTCTCTTTTGTACAATGACAGTTACTCATTTTGGGTTTTGTTGGTCGTGGGGAGATAATTATAATTAAATAGAAATGTTTGTCAGGGGCACAGAATATGCTAGGATAGTAATTGTTGCTATTCCTGGACTAGGAATATTAACCTTTGAAGACATTCAAACAATAATGGAGAAAACTGCCTAACGTCATCTCACTTGTAACAGGAAAAATGCAAATCCAAACTATACATTGTACACCTTTCAGACTGGCAAAAACAAAAAGAAATAACAAATTTAAATAAAATTATATGTAATACATTCATAATATATTCTGTTGAAACTGTGAGAACAGGAATACTCTCGTATGTTGTGGGCGGAATTGTAAATCACCTATAAAAGGCAACTCTCATACTCTCGTATGATGTCCTTCTCATATCCAACAATTTTATTACTCCTTTACTCTATCATTTCCTTTTTTCCTTTGCTTAAATACTTTAAAGTGATTCCCAACTTCTTTGTTTAAATATTTTGCAACAATTTTTGCAATAAAATAAGTGTTTTAATTACCACTTTTGTGTTTGCTTTCCTTATAATCACAAATAGCTGTGAAAGAATACAAAAGAAACTAATACTGTCAGTTATTTGAGGCAAGACAAACTATAGACTGAGATTTGGGTGAAACTGAGATCTTCTATTATGTACCCTTTGATATGCTTAGATGTTTTAGTAATATATTATCTACTCTCAAAATAAAACAGAATAATATTACAAAATGCTTTATCTTTTGCCATATGAATTGACAGAAACACTCAGTAAGTTTTTCTAAAGCCTAATCATAATCAGTATGGTAAAACAAACACAATGAGTTGCTCTATAAATGGATCTTAACTATGTAGTGGGTATCATGCCATCTACAGAGAAACATATAAGCCAGAATCTCCATCCTAGAGTTCAATGTTATCTAGAGTAATGCATTTTGGAAATAAAAAAATAAATCAAATAGTATATTCTCAAATTCTGGATATTAGAGATAACCATTATCAAATTTCAGGTATAAAACATACCTAAAATTATTATTAACCATGCTGTACGTTAGGTCTCTAGAATTTATCTCGTAACTCGTATCCTTTGGCAACATTTCCCCATTTTTCTCACTCTTAATCCTCATTGCTAACCAGTGTAATCAAAGCTGTCTCTGAAGTCCAACTTTTTCAGATTTCACATGTAATATAATGAAAATGCTTGGCTAAGAGAATAGAACTTTATTCACATTACACATGCACATATATGGTAACTATGTCAGGTGATGACATATTAATTAGCTTTTCATACATATATCAAAATATTACTTGACACACCCTAAATATATGTAATTTTTATTTGTCACTTATACCTCAATAAAGTTCGAAAGAAAAGGTACAAGTATTGAATACCTGCAATAGAACTCAATCTCCAAAAGCTATAACATGGCAAAACTTACCAAAATTCAAACAGTATACTTTTTCATTGGTAGAACTTCTAAAAGAGAACTGCCATTAATTCTGCTCCAGAATCCATTACTCACATTGGCCTCCTTTTCTCAAGTTCTTTGGTAAATTTACAGGATATAAATTCACAGTATTTTTATAGAGGTCTCATCTCAATGGTAGGATGAAGAATACTCTAAGTTCTAATCATTGTCATTTTTCATGATATTTATCATCATGACACTGTTGACAACAATGAACAAATATTGCTGACTGTTTAAGAAATTCATATACTATATACTACAATTTTAAGATAAATGTAAACTTCTCAATTACTGTCATCATAATGTACACATTGGATCTGAAAGGCAGAGATCAAAGGAAGACCGATTAAAAGACCATTCAAGGAAAAAAAGCCTCAAAAATACAGCCTTTTCACCAAAACTACTTACTATTTACTACTTTTCTTAGTGAGATCGTATCCACATACTCAACCAGGCTTTATTGAAGAAATCACTGGTTACAACAGCAACTATAGCTTTCAGGACGGCTGGAGTTGGCCTATACAATTAAACACTTCCTGACCATGTTAACTTCTGGGAATATGTTTATTCTCTATAGTCCTTAATATCCTCATTTGTAAAATATGCAGAATAGCAATGTTACTAACACATAATGTTACTTATAAAGCACTTTATACATACATATTTTAAAGCCCAAAAAGACTTTTCACTGAAAAATATCTTAGTACTAACCTTTAGCCATAAAATACAACAAAAGTACTCAATTTTTTGATATAAAAAACAGCTGTTTTGTTCTCCTTGAAATATACTGATTAAAAGTGGTAAAACAGATAAAATTGAAAGTAGTTTACTTAAAATTAACTTTCTATTAAATAGCTTATTATCATTTGTCCATTCCATACTTGCTACATTTTTTTCTGTTGTGTCTTGTTACATACTAGCTGTTTTTTGTTTTTGTTTTTGTTTTGTACTGGGAATTGAACTTAGGACTTGCACTTGCTGGGCAGGCGCTGTGCTGCTGAGCTATATCTAGCCCTAGAACTTTCTAACAATGTGGGATTGGGTGGAGTGGAAATGAATTAATTTTAAATTATTCATTACAAAACTTACACTTACTGATTTTTAAGTTTTTCTGCTGTGCGTATGAATTCTGCTTGCTTTGTTCTACTAGCTTTCTGCTTCCAGTTATGAAGTTGAAAAGGATGAATTCCACTTGAAGTACCAAAGCAGCTATCATTCTGCATTAAGAACAAAATATTATCATCAATAAGCAAAGTGGTATAAAATAAATGTGGCATTTTTTCAGGGAGATGAAACATCAATAGTGGAGTTTCTAGAGCCAAATGAATAAAAATACACTTCGTGGAAGAAGGGATTTCTGTCTTAAAAATGCTAAATTCAGAAAGAGATGTGTCCAAGATTTACAAAAATACCTATTTATTTCATCATTTATCATCTATGGCAGTGGTAGTGAACCTATGCCACATGTGTTATTGTATTTTTCTTTTAAGACAAAAGATGTTAATGTAGGAGATATTTTCTCTAAACCAAAACCTCAGTATGTATTTAGCTTTAACTGCAATGTTGACACATTGCAATAAGTAGGGTTTGCTTTGCAATTTGGCACTTGGTCCCTAAAAGGTTAACCATCACTGTTACGGGCTGAATGCAACGACCTAACAGGTGCAGCATTTAGACACTAGGGAAGCAATAATGATCCACACTAGTATGGCACATCTTAAAAGTCTAGTGAGGAAAAGAGATTTAAAGATAAAACAAGAAACAAGCAATAAAACTAAACAATGCACCGGGATAAGTGCCATTAAGAAAATAAATAGTGCTGAGATACAGAATATGAGGATCTGGTTTGTTTCACCAGTTAGAATAGTCACAGGGTGTCTGTTGAGAGGGTGACATTTAAGAAAAAATGGAACCAGCCATGCCAAAAACAACAGAGAAGGGTGTTTCAGGGAACACCTGGTTCAAGCAGGGAAAAGCCGAGAGCTGCATAAGATTAGTAAAGCTGGGTGAAAGGTAACAGTAAGCAGACATGTGTCAGACACACAGACATTTCAGGTCACTGAGTAGATTTTATTGAAGGGATTTGAGCAGAGGAATGTACAGCAAACTTCATTCTTGAAGAAAATGGTACTTTTTGAGAATCAGTTGAATTGAGTTCTAGGGATGAGGGAGGCTTGACTGTAAGTGTGAGGATCACTGAAAGAGCTGGTATGGCATGACAGTCCAGACTGCCTGGGGATGTAAATTTAAAAAGAATGTTAAAACATCATGCAAACAAACAACAACAGCAACAGAATACCTATACCCATTAGTAATCTTCCTCATCCCCTTTTCCCCAACTCCTGTAAACTGTGAATCTATTTTATAACTATGAATTTGTCTATTCTGGATAAATGGGCTTCTTTCAATTCACATAAGGTTTTGAAGATTTACCCATAGTGTACCATGGATTTGTATTTCACTCCTTTTTATGGCTGTATAACACTATATTGCATTGATCTATCACACTCATCAGTCACCAGGTAATGGATAAGTGGGTTACATCTACCATTTAAGCAATATAAATAATGCTACTGTGAACATCTCTATACATGTTTTAATGTGAATATACGTTTTCAATTCTTTGGGGTATATATCTAGCAGTAGAATTTCTGGGTCATAGGTAACTATTTTTACTCCTCTGCTAAAAAAACCCAGATTACTCTTTTATTACGTTGGAAGCATTCTTCAAATATTCTGAAAATTAGTCCCTTCTCAGAAATACGATTGTCAAGTCATTTCCCTGTGCTGAGTTGTCTTTCCACTTCATTGCTAATGCCTTTGAAGCACAAGTTCATAAGTTTTTGAGGAACTACCACTTTTTTCCACAGTGGTTGCACCATTTTACATTTCCATTAGCAAAGTATGAGAGTTCTAATTTCTCCCCATCTTCATTACACCTGTTACTAACTTTCTTTCATTACTTAATGGCTGTGAAATGGTATCTCACAGTGGTTCTGATTAGTACATAATGACTAATGATGTTGACTATCCTTTCATATGCTTATTCATTTCTTTTGAGGAATGTCTACTGAAATTCTTTCTCATTTTATATTTTTGGAAGGAAATCAGTTTATTCTAATTAATTCACCAACAGTAACATCACAACAGCTGGTTTGAGCCCATGAAAATATTTGCCCAGTCCCCAGTTCTATACCATCTCAGTGAACTTCTATATAGTTTGAAAGGTGTGCTTTCCACCGATCTTTGGACCCAAGGAAGCTATTAAAGGAAGACCATTTTAACTTAGTTTCCTTACCAGTTATAGTCTATAGTCATCAGAGCCAGTTTTCCAGTTCTTCAACCTGACTTTCTTGCTTACACTACCCACCTGCAAGTCTGCCCTGCTTCAGCACCTCATTGAAACTTGCAGAGTTCAGTGTCACCCTGGATCCGGGAACACTCCAAAAACTGTATTATCTCATAAAATGAAGGGCCACCAAACTGCTGTTGCTATGCCTGCTGTGTTCCCTGAGGCGCATGGTAAGTGATTTTAGGCTTAAGACACTCAGCATTTCTTCCTCTACTGAAGACCCCAGAGATGGCATGAACCAGTATGTGCCCAACAATAGAGGTTGATAGCCATTTCTGCTACAGTGGTTGCCATCTAGGCCAGTCAGTGGTGGTGAACCTATGGACATGTGTTATTGTATCTTTCTTTTAAAACAAAAGCTGTTAATGTATGAGTTGTTTTTTCTAAATAAAAACCTCACCATTTTGGTTTAATTGTAGTGTTGGAATTTTGTGATAAATAAGTAGATTCTGGGTTTCAGTTTGGCCGGCAGTCTCTAAAAGGTTCGCCATCACTGATCTAATCCGCCAGACTTGGCAGCCTAGGTGCAGCAGTGTGCCCAATGCAAGTGTGTGTATATCGGTGTGTGTATGTGGTGGTGGTGGGGACTGCTGTGAGAGGCTCAGCTGCTGTGACTGATCCGCTCGCTACCCTCGGTGCTGTTCTCATCTCAATGGTTAGCTGATTAGAAGAATCAGGCAGAAAGTGCTGTTCCATTTCTACAGGCATCCTAAGTGCACTGCAGATTGGTGTCTTGAAATTCAAAACTGCTGGGGCTGGGGATTTAGCTCAGCGGCATAAGCGCCTGCCTTGCAAGCAGGCAGTCATGAGTTCGATCCCCAGTACCGGTAAAAAGGAAATTCAAAACTGCTCACAGCCTGGAGGCTATTGCCCTTTTCTATTTTAAAAAAAAAAACAAAAACAAAAAAACTGGGTTATTTGTCTTTTTTTTTATTGTTGAGCTGTTGTATTTACTTCAATTTGTAGTATTTGAATAGGGAAACTCTAGCAGACCCTTGTAATATCACGAGATTGTCATCAGAAAAATTATCTCAGGAAAACATTTGTTGGTTTCAGTATCTGTCAGCAAGAAAATTAATCACACCTAATATGTCATTCAGTGTTTGGCTATAAAACATTTATGTATAAATGGGGAGGGCTATAGTGGGAAGAACAAAGATGTATAACATATATACTTGTTAAAAATATCACAACATAGTACACAGTGATCTTTTAAGGCCAAAGGCTTCTGAGTAAATTTAATTACTGCTATGATTCTTTAACATGAAATTCTGCCTTTCCCACTGAAGTGCTAAATATAAATTAGGGTTTCTCGACCTCAGTCCTACTGATGCTTTGGTCCAGATAACTGTAGTGGGCTCTCCTCTGGTCTTTCCATATTAGATGTTACCAGTATCTCAATATTCCTTTTCTTTTGCACCAACTAAAAATATCTCCAGACACTGCTAAATGTCTTCTGAGGACTGATACAATGTCCGAAGCAACTTCATAAGTGATTTTGATATAATTCCCAGGAAAAGGCTTATAGTATTATTCTACTATACCATTATAGTAGTAGTGATAAACGTATGTTCAATGACAATATGAGGCAGCTTGTAAGTGAAAACAAAGAGGATAATTACGGCTGTAAGAATTTGGAGAACAAATCACATTGAACTAGAGTAAGCCAGAAGGCTAACACTGAAGGCCAGGGTTAGACAAATGGAGGCTTACGTTTAAGTATATACTTCAAAATATGTGCATTATGTATTATTTATTTATTTTATATTTTCTCCTGATATACTTGGAGCCAGTTAGGATAATAAAGAGAATTATAGAAGATGTATGTGAAAAACTGCCTGAGATTGAATTTCCTAACCTACACAACCAGTAAAGATATTGCATTTCCTCAGAGCAGTGGTGGTAAAACTATCAGGCAGGGAGAGGCCTCTCTATGTAGGAGAGGCAACAGCATTGCCCAGCAGCAGAGCATTGGACAACAGCGCACACAGGGGCCATGCAGACGCTTGGAAAGGAGTAGCAACACCAGGTGTCATGAACAGATGATCTGAGTGCTGCAGATGCTCCTCTCAAACTAATGAAGTAGTGTATGAGCCAAGGCTGGCAAACTATCATCATGCCTACAACAGCAACGATCACATTGTGCAAAAGCATGCTAAATGCAAACTTTCACCTTTCAATAAGCTGTTTGTATCACTGAAAGCTCTGTTACTGTGTTTAAGAAAATGATGTTAATGTATGAGGTTTTTCTAAATTAAAATCTCAGTATGTGGTTTTAATTGTAGTGCTGGGACTTTGCAATAAATAAGTGGATTTTGGGTTGCAGTCTGGGTGTTCAGTCTCTGAGTCTGCCATCACTGCTTAGATGGTGGAAACGATGGAGCTTCTCTAGTCACAGTGCTTTCCTCGGGTTAGACTGACCCACAAGAGTGTACTATGTTCTAGGTTCAATACAGGCACAATTCTTGGTGGGGGGAACATAACAATGAAGAAAGCTTCCAAAAATTCCTGCCCTCATGGATCTTACATTCTCACAGAGGCAAGAAAGGACCAAAACAATAGGTATAAAATATGTAATCTACCATACGGTAAGTACTACTGAAACAATACAATTAGAAAAAGGGGCTAAGTGTGAGGCTGAGTTAGTCCTGAGAGATCTGGGCAAGCCTTACTGAGTGGATGGCACCGAACAAAGACGTGTGGTCGCAGAGAAACTGTTAATCCAGACTTAGCAAACACCTCTGCCTCTGACCATCTATCTCATGGTTTTTCCTCCTTTTTTCCCAGCACCGGTAAAACAACAGAGCTACCACCAAATACTGGGCACCTAGTCTCTCTCCCTCTAAGCCCGAGCAGGGGCTCCCGACACAATACCCAGAGGCTGGGAGAAACCGACCATCGAGATAACAATGCTCCCAGCGGCCGATGCAGGGCTCCCCCAATCCTGCCTCGAGCCCGACCGCTCGGAGGCCGCTCTGAAAGGCTGCTAACTCGCAGGCCGACAGCACAGCGCCGGCAGCGCCAGGCCCAGCAGCGACAGCCACCGCGGACCCGCAGGAACACCTGTTCCGCCCGCCACCGCCACCAACCCCCGCCCTCGCACATTTACCTGTGGCAGCGCCGGCGCTGCTCCCGCGCCGCTGCCCGCTCCCGTCCCGGGCACCGCCCCGGTTACCGCGGTGGCTGCGGCCGCCACCACGACCGTCGTCAGGGCGGCCATGTTTGCTCCCTGAGTCGCTCGGGTGTAGAGACCCGGCAGGTTCGGGGGTTCGGGTCCGTGGGTTCCTGTACAGAAAACACCCACCGGCCTCTGCAGAAGGTTCAAGAGCGTAGCCGGGCAGCACTGGGCGAGGGGCAGGGCCCAGGCGAGGGGCGGGGCCGGGCTGTGGGGCGGGGCCGCGGCGCAGGGTGGGGCGGCAGAAGGGCGGGTGAGTTGAGGGGCGGGGCCATGAGGGGCGGGGCGGGGCGGGAACGCAAAGGGGCGGGGTGGGCGGGGCCGCGGTGCAGGGAGGGGATGCAAAAGGGCGGGAACGCAGAGGGGCGGGGCAGGGAGGAGCGGGGTGGGAGGGGACGGGGCGGGGCGGAGAGGGGCGGGACAGGGCTAGGCCAGGGCGCGGTCTTTCTGTCCAGAGGTAGGTTTGCACATCTGGTTTGCCCACCCAACTCAAGCTAAAAAAACAGTCTTACATTGCCTTGTTTAAATTTTCTTCTTGTCATGCGCATTTGTATATATTTTTCACTTGATGATTCTTGTTTTATGCTACACTATGTGCTGGTGAGATGGAATCTAAGTAGAACAGAATTGTCGATGGGTTCTAACAATAAATTATATTTTACATTTTTATAGCAGGGGCTGGGGGACGAGCATGCCTCCTAGAAGCAGATATCAGAGCCATGATTGCCATAATTGCATGTCTAGGACTTAGTCATGAGACGAGAGATCCCAAAGATGCTGTGTTGGGAAATTAAAATTAAATCCCATTTAATCTTCACAAATAACCCAGTGATACAGGTACAACTGTCATCTCCATTCTAAGGAAAAAGTTAAGGAAGACGAGGACCATAGCAGTCGGCTAGGATACAAACCTAGCAAGACTGACTCCAGAGAACCGCAGTAGAAATGTGAAACACGCAAGTGAATACATGTTTATGGATCTCAGAGGAGAGACTGGAGATGTGAATTTGGCTGTCATGTCCCTACATAACATATTTAAAATAAGATTAAATTAGAATACCCAAGTGGAATATAAACACTACAGAAGAAAGTGTCTCAAGGAGAGAATGATCAATCAGTGGTCCACAGCCTAGAAGCTGAGTGAGCAGAGAACACAAAAGGGATGATTGGATTTGACAGTAAGAAGCATGGTTGCCAGCGATTTAGCTCAGTAGCATAAGTGCCTGCCTGGCAAGAAGGTGCAAGTGGTGTGTCCTAACAACTATTTGGGTAGATTTGAGGGTGCAGGTGAAGGGAGAGCTGAGATGCTACCTGGAGGAAGATGTGTGATCAGAGAGGGTCTCTGATGTGTTGTGCTTCAAGGTGGATCTAATAGAGGATGCTTGTATGTTGCTGGGAGCAACCCAATGGGGAGTAGATAGTAGATACTACAGAAAAGAGAAGCAACCAACCTTTCCTGAGGGCGAGACTGAGTCCAGCACATGAGTGGAAGGTTTGGTCTTTGATAGGGCATGGACATAGATTCTTCCTAATGGGGGTGGGAAGAAAGTCTTGCACAATGGTTGATAATACGAATAGAAAAGTTGGCTGAGTGAGGGAGGAAGAAATTACTTGGGTATTAAGAAGGTAAAAATCTACTTGATATATTTACTTTTCAGCCAAAATAAGGCCTGTTGTTATAACATCATCCGAATGCCTCTAATTCTTAGTTCAGAAGAAGCTTGCAGCTCTCAGGAAAATAAGTTAACAATCTCAACTGAGTGATTAAAGAAATGATTCCCAAGATGCCCACTGTGTTTAAGTTTATTTTTAATGATTCATTAGACTAGAAAGCTTCAAAAGATAACGAGTGTCATAAACAGAAACCAAAGCAGGCTCTTGTGACAAATGCAGACAAGGTAGCACTGTGTGCTCATCTTAGAGGAACTGTGTTCCTCTCAGTGGGCACAGTTAGAAATATATGTTTGTTTTTAGTTTTATTTTTTACATTTTTAAATCACTTCTAATTTAATATGACATGTTTGTCTTTCCCTAGCTTTTATATTTATATTTGCGTATGTATTTGCATTGTAACTGAAAATCTTGGTTACTGAGAGTATCAACATATTTACCTGTTTCCTTTATGTTGCATGAATCATGTGGTTTCAAATTAAAATTCTAATATTGGGGCTGGGGGATTTAGCTCAGTGGCATAAGTGCTTGCCTTGCAAGCACATGGTCGTGAGTTCGATCCCCCATACCGATTTTTAAAAAATTTCTAATATTACCATTAACAATAAGTCTGCTAAACGAAGTTTAAGATTCTTCTTTTCATAGCTCTTTTGGTCATTAGGATATAGCCTAGGCAGTCTGTCCAGAGTGCTACATTCAGAAGTTTTCTGACATTCTCCCTTTCTCCATATGGCTATGGAATCAAGTTGCTATACATAGTTTAGTTCTTTTGGTTCTGATTATGTTCAATTGAAGTATTCCTAGTTTTGTTGTTTTTTTATTTGCTCTAAAATGTATGTGGTTCGTATAACATACACTATAAACATAAACATAAGCTATGTTTAAAGAAAGCTTGCTTTCAAACATATCCTTTCCACTCATTTCAGTTGATCTTCCGTAAGTGACCACATCCACTGATTACTTCGTCTTCCATATTTCTTTTAGCAAAAATGCAAATGTTACATGTGTGAACAGAGAGATTCCCGTTTTTCTGTTTCTTATAAAACATGAAGGATGTTGTATTATTGCCCTATGGCTGCTGTAACAAAGTAACATAGCCTGGGTGCCTTAAAAATATATTGTTCTATATCTCAAAGAGGCCAGAAGTCCAAAACCAAGGTGTCAGCCGATTTGGTTGCTTGGAAGAGTGGAGGAAAAATTTGTCTCTGTCTGCTTCTGATGATTGTCAACAATCTTGAATGCTCCTTGGCTTGTGGAAGTATTCCTGCAGTGTGTCTCCATTTCTCCCTGAAATTGGGTCATAGAACAGGGGTTTGAACGGAGGGTGATCTCAGGAAGCCAAGTGAGAGAGAAGGAAAGCAAAACAGGCCCTGGAGAAACGCCAATCAGGTGTGCTGCGGGCAAGTAGGGTGCACTCTAGCTGGGACCTTCTGAGCGAGCTTACAGAGCACTCCTTAGAAAGGTCCCATGAAGGGGCAGAGGTGCTAAAGATTTGCCTACCAAGTCCCAAATCTCACTGGCTGAGGGGTTCTGTGAGGGCAGAACTCACAGGCTGTGCCACAAAATGACTAACCAGGCTCTGAGAGAAAGCTGTTAGGTCAACACAAGGAGGGGAGCGGCTCAGGTGCAGGCTGTCAGTGGGGATAGCAAACTCAGAGACAGGACACCGGCAGTACCTGTTATGAAAGCAGATGAAAACAAGCGAGAAGTCCCCGTTTAAAAAGCTTTCCTCAAAGACTTCACCAATGGCTTCCAGTCATCTGTCATTACCTACAGTCAAGTCACAAGGCCGCCCAAACCACAAGGCATTCTGAAGAGGAATTTCCCTGGGCTGCTCTGCGATGAGTGGCCTAGTGCTAGAGCTGCCTGCACAGCAGTCTGTCTGTCTTTTTAATTGTCCTAGGTCTCTTTTTTTTCTGTTACTAAAACTTAGCTTTCCTCTAAAATAAGAAAGAGATATAAGAAATAAGATCTTCACTAAAATCTTATTTGGTAGGTTATTTTATAGTCCATTTTACTCCATATCAATGTATTCCCTACCGATTCTTATTTTAGTTTCTTCATCTGTCATAGATATTTTCCCAAACAAGAAAATCTCCGAGTCTATTTTTTGAAAAGAAATCGAAGAAAGAAATCAATTGTGTTCAAATGGTTGTTGATTATTATTCTGCTGTTCCGTTGTATCCTTCAGACCAGCCTTTGGGAAATAAAAATCTTCAGTGTAGATGACAGTTTTATGTCTGCATTACTTAGAGCCAATAGAATACTTTTCCCTGAGAACTCTAGTCAATATGATGAACACAAACCTATCATTTCAAAATTAATTTCAGGAAAGTTATTGTTGGGTCATTTATTTTATGGTTAGGAAATTAAACTCGTATATCACCTCTATAGTTCCTTAGATTTGGAGAAAATTTCTCAGAGACATCTAACTTATAGGTTCAATTTTTTATTAAATATTTATTTATGTTTGAGAATTTTAAATCAAAGCCAGATCCCAAGATATAACCACAGAAATTAAGAAATCGTACAACAAGGAAACAATGAAACATTATTAAGTGGTCGGGTCTTCAGTAATGCTGGATTTTTAAAATAATTTTTGTATATTAGTATGACCAGCTATGCGTGGTTCCTCTGAGCTGCTGCTACTTTTTCTTTTTTTTAGAAACTTGTGTTTAACTTTGTTTTAATTTTGCTTAAGAGCCTGTGACAGAACAGTTTAAGCCCAGTCATGGGTTATTCCTACTTATTCAGTGGTCTGAGTAATGGGAGATTCAGATTGGTCTTCGGTAGGGGACTGCTGGATAGGCACAGTGGCTACCTGGCCACTTTTAGACATTTTGGGTGGCAAATATTTGGTCTCAGCAAGGAAAATAAAGTAACCAAAACAGAGGTGCATCTTTGTATATTGCCATGAGAAAACTTTCAAGACACTAGAAATATAAACAGTTGCAGAATATGATAAAAAATATGTTACAGTTTGTGACCAGGTATCCCCCAAAGCCTCTGTGGTCGGAGGTGGTGCTTTTTCAGAGGTGGCTGGACCTAGAATGTGTGACATTGGGATTAAGGTGTGTGATTACTAAATCAGCCCACTGATTGACGTGTCATTGCCCTGATCCTGGCAGCTGAAATACCATATAAAAGGGTCAGGAAGATGCTATATCGTCCCTTGCTGCTCTGCTACATTCTGCCCACCATGAACTGTTCTTCTCTGGCAAGCCATCCTGCCTTAGAGCCAGCCAATTATGGACTGAAACCTCTATAAACTGTGAGCTAAATAAACTTTCTTCTGTTAAATTTGGACACTGCATACTTCGAGCAACAAGAAAAGTAATTAAGACAGAATTTGGTAACAAAAGTAGAGTCAATTCTGAGATTCTATCTGACCATGTGGTTTAGGACCCTTTGGAGCTTTCTTATGGGAAGAGTTTGAAACATTTTGGAGATGCCAGTTGAAAAAGTTAAGCTGGAATGCTTTACATTATACTTGACAAGAGATTCTGGTCAGAGCTCAGAACAGAATGGCAACATCAATAATGCTAATAAAGACTC